CTTCAATTTACTTTCAGAGCTTCTGTCACAGTATCTTTCACGAGTTACTCTCACATTTTCATGATTGATGCATGTAAAAATGCTTAAATTAAATTAATGTGAATGCAAATGTGGATGCCAAATGCAAATGTAAAATGGGTGTGCAAAAATGCGAGATGCAAATGCAACCCGATATTGATTCCAAAATAACTTAGTTTATAAAAAGTACTCAACAACACACAATGTCTAAGAACTTAGGCAAAGAGAGTATATCAACATGGAAACTTAAACGTAGAATCTTGCCCTATTCACTAATCTCTCGAGTTCTATCATCAATTCCATGATTCATCATTCTTCCTCTGGATCACGAAAACTCTTAAGCTTGTCGCTTCTTCAGATAATTCATAGACTTGACGAGCAACACCATTGGCCTGATTCAGTGCTCTCTTCATTGCTTCATGTTGTCTTTGAATAGTATCTTGAGTCTGTCGTAGCGCGGTTCCAAGTTCTTGATTAGTCCATGGTCGACTCTTCTCTAACTGCTGAATTCGCTGATGGCATTTATGTACTGTAACTTTAAACTCAGGAATCTTAGCTTTTAAGGCCTCATTTTCCAGTCTGGCTATCTATTATGCGGATGAGTGGTTCAACCCTGCTCCTACTAGCTCCGCTATCTTCTTCTTTAATATCTCATTTTCTTTTTGAAGAAGGAACTCATTGCTGTTGTAAGGGGTCTGAAAAGACTCATCCAAACTAAGAAGATGTGCTTCGAGCTGTTCAATCTGTGCTCGCTTTTGTGCTAATTCATGGTTAGCCTCGTATTTTTGTTCTCTCAGTCTCTGAGCATGCTACCGGGCTCGGATAATTACATTCTCTGGCAAAATTGATTCTTCGGTAGTGACAAGGATGTCTCTGAACTGCGTATTCCCATACTTGAACTAGGTCTAAACACTAATTGTATTCTCAGTCCTATCGGAAGACATTGTTGTCTTAAGCTCTTTTTATAATAACTAGGTAATCTGGGAATCAATATCGTTTATGAAATGATGTGATGTGACAATGATACATGCAAAAATGCAATAAGAGCATACAAAAGAAAATCAATGTTAGTAGAAACAAGACAACAATAATCAAGTTAGTTGAAATGATTAATCAAAAAATCTTAAATATGAATTAAAGTTGAGACTAAAAAAATAAAGCATACAAAGGAAATTAATGGTCCTAACCACATGATTTCTAGTTCTCCTAGGTTATCCACATGGCTCTAGCGAGGTAAGCTTACTAAATTCTCTATATGAGGTTGGGTTCTAGCGAATGTTCCCAAGCTATTTTTACAACCTGCTAAGGTTGACCCCAATTCTGGCCCATTACAGACTTGCGAATCGGGTTCAGCTCAGGGGATCACACCACTAAAAGTGTACCTCGGAACTGATATCCGGATAGGCAACTTAGAGTGTTTTCCAGAGATACTTTGTCAGACCCACACAAGGAAGCCCAATGCTCCTCGTGAGGTGTGACGTTTCTCCCTACTTAGGTAAACCGGGATTAAGCTCGGGTTTAGAGCTATGGTATGCAACAATTCTAAATATTTCACAGAAGTGTAAGCATTAATCAGAGAATTTTTTTTTTGAAATAACATACAACAACAACAATAACAAAACCCTGATTCCCATATGCAATGGGGTAAGGGGGAGGTAAGGTAGTAGGCTGACCCCAACGCCAGGTTGAGAGCAGCTTACGTGGAAGACCTCCGGCAGTCAGAAAATTAAAAATAAAGATAAGATGCAAATGCGTGTATAAATAAATAAATAAATACATAGATGAACAGTCTTCATATGCAGTCTTAATATGTGCGTCTGTAATGGGGAGTAATCCCTGTAAATAATTCCCTACAAATAATTCCCTACATAGAAATCTCTGCATATAGACTGAAAATGTAAGACCCAGCTAAATTTAAAAAGAGGAAACATGAATAGAAATGATACACAGAAGTCAATAATAGCAAGCTACGAGAAGGAATAAATTCAAATGAGTTAATTCTTAAACTAAGGCAACACTACTCCGATACCCTAGTTCTAAGCCTTCATACATTTCAATCACAGAAACATGTATAAAGTAGAAGTCATGGAAAGTACTACAAAGACATTAAAAAGAAGACAGAGATGTTACACCCTATGGCTGTGAACCGCACTACTCAACTACCCTGGTCTTAAGTCTCCATACTTTCCTATCGGAGGTCATGTCCTCGGTAAGGGCTAATTCCTTCAAATCAGATCTCAAGCAGGCTTCCCACTTCCGTCTTGGTCGTCCTCTCCTTCTGACACCGTCGACTGTAATCGACTCTACCCTCCTGACTGCATCCGACGGTTGTCGCCTAAGGACATGCCCAAACCACCGTAGTCTTCCCTCTATCAATTTTTTGGATACAGGCACCACCCCCAAGTACATCCTAATAGCAGAGTTAGGTGTCATGTCCCACAGAGTCCTACCACATGTCCATCGAAGCATTCTCATTTCTGCGGCCTCCATCCTCCTTACGTGATCCTTCTTGATTGCCCAACATTCTGATCCATACAGCAGCGCTGGTCTTATTGCCATTCTATAAAATTTTCCCTTTAGTTTTAGAGGCACCTTCTTGTCACACAAAACTCCAGTAGAAGCCCTCCACTTTAGCCATACCGCCTTTATACGGTGTGTAACGTCTTCATCTATACCCCCATCTTTATGTATCATAGACCCTAGGTACTTAAAACAATCATTTGAGGGGACAATGTGTCCTTCTATGCATACTTCTACATCTTCATCGTTTTGGTTTCCACTGAAGTTTGAACATACATAATTTGTCTTTTCAATATTGATCCTTAGACCTTTTTCTTCCAAAGCAATCTTCCAGGTAGCAAGTCTACTATTCAGCTCAGTTTTTGTTTTAGCAATTAGGACAATGTCGTCAGCAAAAAGCATACACCATGGAACACCGTCTGGTGTCGCACAATAGATGTCGTCCATAATCAAGGCAAAGATGTAAGGGCTAAGAGCCGACCCCTGGTGGAGTCCAATTTCCACCGGGAATGCCTTGGTGTCGCCAACTGTAGTCCTAACGGTAGTAGTAGATCTACAGTACATATCACGAATCACCCGGATATAAGCAGTTGGGATCCGTCTCGTTTCCAAGGTCTTCCAGATCGTATCGCGGGGAACGCTATCATACGCCTTCTCAAGGTCAATGAACGCCATGTGAAGATCACTATTTTTTCCCTATATTTCTCCATAAGTCGTCGAAGTAGATGAATCGCCTTCGTAGTAAACCTGCCTGGCATAAAGCTAAATTGGTTTTCTGAAACCCTAGTAACCTGTCTCAACCTAGCCTCTATTACCCTTTCCCATAGCTTCATGGTATGGCTGAGTAGTTTAATACCTCTGTAGTTGCCACAACGTTGGGGATCTCCTTTATTCTTATAGATTGGTATCTCGTGGCTCGACTCTCAATTTGTTTAAAAAAACAAAAGATCCCCAGCAGAGTCGCCAAGATGTCGTAACCGTTTCTCGCCCGGAGGGAAAAGACCGATACCGACTCGGGGGTTTTCTCTTTGAAAATTGTTTTAAAAGGTGAAGAGTCGCCACCAATCATTTGAGGTGAGATTGGAACACCATAAAAATCGGATGATTTTAATAAAACATTTTATTTTTATCAAAATACCGAGTTTGGAGGTCTACGAAAATCCAGAAATCAGGTTCGGGAGTCGGTTACGCGTGGGGAAGGATTAGCACCCCCACAAGCGCCCAAAAATTGGTACCTAGTTGATTACCCTATATTTAAAATAAGAAATTTGAAGTTCGATCTTTATTTAATTTAAAAATCATTAAGGATGCAAAGTTGAAAAGGGTATTCGTTTATCGAGACCGATAGCATTTGCCCCCGAGCGTAAATGCGGGAGATCAGCTATTGTGCCTAATAACCAAATATTGCCTCTTTTTTTAGAAAACATGATGTGGTTTTGAAAAGGATGTTGACTTATTCAAGGAATTACTAGTAGTCACCCCTTGAGCACAATCGCGGGAGATATACTATTAATTTCTTAATAAGTAAACAGTGCCTTAGATTTGTAAAAACAATGTAATCAAACAAAATTTTATTTGTCTTAATTAAACTAAAAGTAAATTAAGGCATTTCCTAACTTAAAGTGTCAAATTATGAAAATTAAGGATCCTAGAAGCTCAATTTAAAATGTAAGTTCTAGTATTAATACTTAATGCTATATATTAAAATGAATTAAATATTCACGTATTAGAAATTTTCTTTTTATAATTTTAAAATGATCAAATATTTCCCTTAGTCAATTTATTTCGATTTGAGTTAAATGATGCTTATGAGGATACATACATATCATGTAAAAAATCTCATACGATTTGTAAATTAATCACTTTGTACATATGTAAACATATCAATATGCAAAATAATATAACAACTAATTAAAAAACATAATTATGGGTAACACATGTATCAAAACATTTAATGATTCTATACTAAACATATATATAATAAGATTGTATATATAATATTAAATACAAAGCCATTTTAACACACAAATTATTATATTCACGTGATAACATTTAATGATTCCATATTAAAGATATATATAATAAGATTGTATATATAATATTAAATGTAAAGCCACTTTTGCACACATATAATTATTATATTACACATGATTAAAAAGCATAAGACATATAGTAACACATGTATGCATTACATAAAAAAAATAAGCATAATATATGAATTTAAAATGAACAAACAGTGGTCATAAAATATAAAATGCAAATTTAAACTAAACATGGGACAACCACGAAACAACAAAATTAAAAGCCCCAAATCAAGGATCAAATTGCATAAAACTGTAAATTTGGATGGCCCCTAAAATGAGTAGCCCATACGTGAATAGTAAAGCTGCCCTAGACCTAAACACTGTCGTTTTAATTGATCCTATATGCAAACTTAGGGAATAAAAAAAACCTAATTTCATTTGCTACCTAATATCTCCTCTGCGCCGTTCTCTATCAATCCCACTTCCTCTCTTCTTCTCAAACCTTCTATTCGACTTCTCTCCATTTTGTTCAACCCTCATGAACGACACTGCCTATCACCAAAGCCTTCATCGTTGCCGGTTGGCCACCTCCATCTCCGACGACAAACCAACAAAAGGTAAACTCGAATACCTCTTGCTCTATTTTACTTTCGTTGTCTAACCAACTACCCTTCACACACAAAACTACTAGAAATCAAAGGGAAAAAATACCTTTAAAGCTATGGTTTTCTATGGAACGATATGAAAAGAACAATTTTGTAGAAATCCTTTTTTTTGTATTGATTTCGAAAGAAAAAGGATCCTCTGTTACATTTGTTTTTCTTTCCAAATAAAGGATTCCCAACGCGTTACTGTTTTTTTTTTGGTCGAGAGCCCTCTTTTTTTCTGCTTGCTTGATAATTTTCTGTTCTCCTCCGTTCCTCGTAATAATTTTTGGTTTTCACGGAAAATTCCCTCCTTTCGTTAACTGCCCCCAGTTTTTTATCTCCATTTTCTTCATCAAATTCCTTTGTCGTTGCATGATAATTTCTTTCTTTTTGGTGAGACTTTGATTGGAGCTGGTGAATATTTGGGCGTATGCAATGACGTTCTCTGAAGATTTGGGTGCTTCACGTGATGGTGCTGCAAGGGTGTGGTACTTGGGCTTCAAGCTGGGTCATGTAATTGGGTTGATGTTGAGCTTTGTAATGGGCTCTGAAATTTATTTGTATTTGGCCTGTATGTAAAATATAATAATAATAATTAATAATAATAATAATAATAATAAAATATTAAAAGACGAGACGAAAAAATGAGTGTCAACAAAGAGAATAAAGAACAAAGTGTAAGAGAGAAATAAAATAAATTCTAGACATGTATTTCTCTCTGAAATAATGGATGGAATGAGATGATTTATTAATGAGGCTTACCATTGGAGGCATCTGTTTGGAATAATCATATTGAGATTATGAAAACAACGTAATGCTTTTCTTTTTAATTGACAGGTATGGTCGGCAATGGAGATAGATCAACACAATCATGGGCTCGAGCCATCAAATCCAACAAAAGTGTGAACAATCCTAGTGCTGGCATGCTGAACACGAGAAATAGGTGGTGCCCCCTAAGAATGGTATGGTTAAACTCAATACTGGTGGAGCGGCTGATCCTCGCGCTGTGGAGGCTACAGGTGGTGGAATCCTTGAAGATAGCAAAGGCCGCTGGATATCGGGTTTCAACCGGTAGATTAGGTTATGTTCGACGTTTCATGCTGAGGTTTGGGCTCTATACGATGGTTTGAATCTGGCCTGAAATAGTGGCTTTTAAAACGTGGTGGTTGAACTCGACAATAAAGAAACAGTAAACACCCTTAGCAATGGTCCTCTTACGCAAGAGACTACGCTGATTCGAGAAGCCCGTGAATTACTCCGGAGGCGGTGAACTGTTAAGATCGCACACATTAGTCGAGAAGGTAACGAAAGTGCGGATGCTATGGCATACATCAAAGAAATAGATCCTCGACACCTTGATATTTTCCAGCCCGCCTGCTGCTATCAGACACGTCCTCTCTTGTGAGGAAAGGAACCTAGTGTAGATTTTTCTCATTAACCAGCAGTGTTCTATTGCTACCAAAAAAAGGTGAAGATGATTTCTAAAGAATTTAATTGTGTTGTGGATGGTCTTTATCAAAGATGAAATTGGTTATATCATTATAGAATTTAACATTATTTTTAGATACCATTTTTTAAATAAATTATAAATATTAATTAAAATATTTTAATTCTTTTCTCAATATAAATTATATATCAAAATATCATACTAATAAAAGAATTTTTTTATTTTTTAAATTCATACGTTCATATATAATTAAAGAAACAAAATACATTGGTATTAATGTTACCTAGAATTGAGTCTAAATTTTTAATTTTAGAGATGAAAATTCATGAACTCCCATAATATATATATATATGTATTAAATATAAATCGAATTGAAAAATATTTAAAAAATACATCTATGTATATATATACACACGAATGTATGTATGTATATACGTGTGTGTGAAACAAAATTATAAATATAAATCGAATTGAAAAATATTTAAAAAATACACTTAACTAAATGAAATTAAAAATTAAATACTTGATAACTTGGTTGAAGTCTCAACTAAAAAAAGATGAACAATTCAAAGAACAGAAAAAAAATAATCTTTTACGCCTTTAAATCAGAAATGACAAAACAAAATAAAATTTTCTCATTTAAAAATAAAAATTAATAACTCCCACTCCAACACCATCATCTCCCTCTTTTGGTGACTATATCCCTTATCTCTCATCCGATGAACATCACCCCTTATCATCATCAACTCATAAAATTGACATTACAAACCACTATAAAAACTCCATCCAAGAACCAAAGAGAGATAGGATTTTGGATCGGAAAAGAGAAGTTCAAAAACCTGCAAAAAAGAGATTAGACCAGGAAAGCAAAAACTCAAAAATAAAATAAAGAAGGGGGTTTAACGTTTGACCGATGCCCTCATTAATTCTTGGAACGCACAATTTCAAATTTGAAATTTTGAAGAGTTGTCTACATCGACATTCGTCAAGCACCTCAACAGTCGTCAGTCATATTTATTCATGATTTAGTGGTTCAGTAATATAATTGAAAAATCAAAGTTTAGCTCTATAATTAGAAATTTTGAATTTTCAATGGTATAAATGAATGCCTAAAGTTCGATGATATTTGATGTAGTTTACCCTTAATTTTATTTTAGTATGTCATGTTATTATATTCACTTTATTATATGTATATCATTTTTGTATTTGTTATATTTATATACTATTTTAATTTACGAGATAATAAGTAAAAATTTATTTTCAAACAATCAATGAATCATAAATTAAATTAAATTTTAATTTGTAACTTCTCTATTTTTAAGGCAACAATGTAATCAACTAGGTATGGAAAATACATTGTAAGGATATTAATCATTCTCAACATGTAATCGACTCTTGAATTTATTCTCTATGTAAGTAGATCATAATTTGTTATTTTATTAAAATGATAAACTTTTAGTGATCCAAACTAGGGTTGAGCAATGAACCCGAGAAATAAAAAAATTGATCTGAATCAAGCTAAGTGATTCAATTTGGTTCGAGTTTTTCATTTTACGGTTTGATTTTCGTTCGATTTAAAAAATATAATTTTACAATTTGGTTTCATTTTTTTCGTATGAAAATCGTTTGTTCCAAATCAAACCGAATTAAAAAATAATTATTTAAAACAAAATTTTTTGAATTTATTACAAGACAAACTAAAATAAATAAAATCTTAAAACTATAATTTTTATAAATTTAACATTGTATGTTTGCACTTGTTTTAAGTTTTAAGTTTTTTTTTTTTGTATATTGCTCTTAAAAACTAATAAACAATCAAAAATCGCAAAATCGAACCAAATCAATTCAAACCGAATTGAAATCCGCAATTTTTATGCAATTCATTTTCGATTTTGGTTTCAGCTTCAATTTTTAAAAATTCACAAAGTATGGTTCAGTTCATCTTTTTATAGAAAAATTGAATCGAAACGAATACACCTATAATCCAAGCACCTTAATAATATTTTTTATTAAACTAGGGTAAGTACAAGACAGTATATGTTTAAAGAAAACTCTCAACTTTTCGACATTGAATACTCACACTCCTGACACTTATGGTGCTCGAACCCGAGTCCTTAAGGAATAACAACAATTCCTTTTACCATGGAGGTCACTTGATTCGTGCAATAACTTAATTGCAATTGAACCCAAGATCAGTTAATAACCCAAACACCTTAAATAAAGGTTAGTTTTAATAAAATAATAATAATAATAAAGGTTAGTGGCTACTACACTTAGGGGTGTTCATTCGGTTAAAACGGTGGCCGACCGAACCGAAATACCCTTAACCAAAATTTTTTTCTTTAACCGTTAACCGAATCGAACTTTTTTTTTGAAAGTATTAACTGATATTTTTTTAGAATTTTAGAATTTAATATTTTTAATTAAAATAATAATAATTTACAATTAATTTAAATAATAACTAATTATAAATAATATCTAATTAATTTGATTCAAACATTTTGCATTTAGTATTGAGATTATTTTAATTAATTCATATTGATTTGGGTTTTAAATGGATTGGGCCGGCTAAGTCTCTTAATATAATTATATTTAAAGGTTAATTCGGTTAATTAACCAATTTCGAACCGAATTAACCGTTAACCGAATTCTAAAAAAATCTTTAACTGTTCCCCGACTAAACTAATTCGGTGGCCGACCGAATTAACCGAACTAATTCGGTTCGATCGGTTAATTCGGTTAAAACCGAATTTTGAACACCCCTAACTACACTAACCACAAATTTAATATCCAAAGAAAATTAACCTCCAAATTTTAAGTATGTTTCGACAATCACAAAGTCAGTCTAAGTAGTAATTGCTTCGTTGATTGTATTCTCCACTTATGTGAATCTACATTGCAAAAAATTATTGTTCCACTCTCTTACATTAACAGTAGATCTCTTATAACGTCAGTGTTTCATTTCAGATTCTTTAATTTCTTGAGTTATCGTATCATCGCTGCCAGTGTTTTGATTCATCACTTACTAGTGGGTTTTTTTCATATTTTTTTACTCGGTTGGCTTCTGGATTAATATCTGTAGTTGAGTTCTCATTTTTTTTTTTTGCTTGATCTGGCATCTGATTCGTTCAAATATTCGAATTTACTAGTTCTTACTGTGACTTACATTTTGGATGAGAGATATCAATGGTACTGGTAGTCATAAGTTTTGCTGCATATGCGTTTGATGAAAGTTCCGATGAGTGTTAGTTACTTTGTTTCCTAAATCATATGCAATTTGAGATGCTTAGGTATTGGTTTTGTGGTTATTGATCCCAATTGATGTTGGAAGCTAGTCGATGTGTTCAAGAACAGTGGTTCTCAGTTCAGTTCAAAGATCAAAGATTGTTACAAATTCTTCATCTTGTGTTTTGCCTCTTCTACATGGTAGACATGAAACTAGCAGCTTAGGGAGAATTATGTAGCTTTGTCTTCGTGTTTTCCATTGATCAGACGAGAAGTGTGTTTCTTTTCAAGAAATATAACAGCCTAGCTTTCAAAGGGGGAAAATGATGGATGAATAAGAAGAACAATAATATTTTGGGGAGAGTTCAGTTGAGTGTTTAACAACTTTTCTTTCTGTTACTAAAAATATGGTATTTATTCCTCAAATACGAGATTCAGATTACAACCGAAAGTAGTGACGGATCCATTACGGATAATAGATTCAGGTGGACATTTATCTATCTTAAAACTTAAAGTCTTTTTATATAAATACATATTTTAATAGTTGTGTACACCATGAAATTTTAATTATATTATCTCATATAAAAAATTTATATAGTTGATATATATGTGCGCTTCCTAAAAGCTGTTTTTCTATTCGCTACCGACTATAAGCAAGTCTTCTAACAATCTTGCTTCTAAGAAAATTGAAATTTGAATAGCCAAGGGAGAAAAATGGTAGAGGATAGAAAAATACAGATAAAGAGACAAAACAAAAATATTTTATCCCACAACCAGGAAAATTCTACGAACTCGTTGCATATATTAAAACGACATATTGAAATTTACTATTACTTAAATTGTCTATATTAAATCAATATTAAAAAGGATAAATTATCATTTTTATTGAATTTTAGTATTTAAACTTTATTTTTTTTTAAATCATCGATAGTAATAATTATGTTAATTTTTTTATTTTTTTAATTACTACATCGTTTTTTATTTTTTTAGTTAATTTTATTCAAGCAATTAAATGGTGACACATGTCACCCCCATGGGATAAAAAGATAGAAAACATTACAACTCCTAATATGAATTGATCTTGAGTATTTTACATGAGATATTAGCCACTCAACCATTGAGCTAAAGAAGCCATTTGTGTAAATTTCACCACATTTTGAATTGAACTTATATAACAATAACACTACAAAATCAATATTTTTCGATGATTATAAGATTCAAATTTGGGATACTTTGAATTAATCACCGAAAGCTTAGTCACCTAACTATAGTGAATTTTTTTTATTACACTGAACTTAATGTTTACTTATATAATTATTAAATTAAAAGTTAATTTTTCACTTTATTTAGAAATAAAAATAATTAAATAATTCATATATTTTTATGAAAATTATATGAAATAATTATAGAAAAGGTATATTTATAATATTACAAAAATATTTATTTATTTTTTAAAATATAATTAATTATTTGTTTAAAATAATATTATTTTTAAATTATCTATTTAATTTTAAATAATTTAAATTTAGGATAAATTATACTTTTACTATCCATTAGCTCCATAAAATACCACCTTAAAATTAAATAGATAATTTAAAAAATAATATTTCAAATAAATAATAATATGATTTTAAAAAATAAATAAATATTTTAAAATATTTTCATAATATTATAAATAAACTTCTTAGAATAATTTAATAAATACATACAAGTAATTATTTAATTTTTTATTTCCAAATAAAGTGAAAAATAATTCTTTAATTTAATAATGATACAATTAAGTATAAAGTTTGATATAATATAATTAGATTCGCATTATAGTTG